CCGGCTGCGATGTAGCTGGTGCCAAAGGAAGAGCTGCGAAACGGCGGGGCGATAAGGGCCACCCGCTCCTTCTGCGGGGTCCGTGGAGGTCCCTGCTAGGCCCCAGAAAGCGTTCAGAGGGGTGCAGTCAAACCTGCCTGCGCTGGCAGGGGAAGCTGTTCTGAGGAAGAAAAGTGTTTCCCATGTGTAACGCGTCAGTGGCACAAAGGGGGCATACCTGCTTTAAGGAGGCCCAGCGCGGCGCTCTGCGTTTCAGATGCAGAGCCACTAATGCTGCCTGATACATAAATGTAGCCTGGAGCGGCTTGAAACGGTTCCTCGCAGTCTGACAGTTGTCATTTCGCGCTTCCTCCTTCTACCTGAAATGTTCTGCTATGAAAAGATAGCAGTGTGGACCTCATGGGTAGGCGGTATAACTGGATGCAGGTGCCATGCATCTTCCTAGAAGAGGGCAAGCTTGCAGTCACCTGGCACAGCGACGGTGCCATAAAACATTTTGTTGAGAGCCTGGGATAAGGCCGGTGTTCAGTACCTCTCAGCCGATGCCCTGCCAGAGTCAAATCCTGCTCTGCTTACTCAAATGGAGCGAGAGAAATCACTGGAACATTTAGGATGGAGAGCACATACTGCCTTTGGCCCTCAGAAAGTCTCTCTTCTGTGACAGCAGATACAAATTACGTACCTTTTCTCTGTTGTGTGCTCTGTTTGACAGACATGGAGGGCTGGATTTTGAGTTGGCGCCAACCCAGTTTTAAAAATTGCCCAGTGAAAAGTTGCCGTTAATCTCCCTTCATGGCATCCCTTTGCAACTGCCGTGCCTGCAATTTTGTATGTAGTTGCGTCTGTCACAGCTATGTACCAACCTCTTCCTGCAACGCGAGCTCCCTGCGCCTCTTCTGGGTTTGCACAGTTGATTTCTTTTCAGCACCTCCTGTCCCTGGCAGTACCCTTGTACAAGCAATACACTGCACACTCTGTATTCAAAGGTAGAACAGATAGTACTGCCCCCGTGAAGGCACCGTGAAATAGTAGCTCTCAGCTGAGGTGTTTCTGTTTTGAAAACACCACCCCCCCACATGGCTTTTGAATTTAGCTGCATGTTCAAATTTGATCCTTTTCAGTTAAACGGCAGAGTTATATATGAAATCACTCCAGATCTGGAATGCAGATGAGTTCTTTTCTAAGTAAGGATCTACTCAAGTAAATCAGCAATAGACAAGTAATAAATCTGAAAGAACAGATCTGTAAGAAGTTGCATGATGCTGGCAGCTACTAAACTAGGGTGTTTTTTTTTGGGGGGTGCCTTGTGTTTGTGTATCCGTCCCTGCCGGGAGTCCAGGCAGTGCCTCCACCTTACCCTTACATACCAGAGCTGTATATTCACCCTTATCTTATCACTCAAACACTAAAGAGGGTTTCAAACTTTTTTTTCTTTTTTTTTTTTTTGGGGGGGGGGGGGGAGGGTCATAGCAGGTATCAGAAATGAATAATGCCATGTAGGAAGAAAAGAGCACCTCTTTTCAGAGGATTTCCTTCACCTAAAAAGCACAGACACGTACAACCACACCAGCCATCTGTATATTAATCTTACAACAACTATAAAAAAAGCAAGCTAAGAAGTGCACCTGACATCTGCCCACTTGTTAACTGAAACTTCTTGTTACTCAGTTCCTTTCAGCCAGACCAAAGTTTCAGAGAGCAAAAGAAAATATTTGAAAATCTCCCTGGACACCTCTGAGGGACAGAATATTAACTCTCCTGACTCCTTCTCCAACTTGCTTCTCTCCAGGAACACAGGCATCCCCAGGTAGAAACCAGGCCTACTCCTTAGACAAGCTTTCAGGCTGTAAGGCTAGGCTGTTGCTGCTTCAACATCGGCTGTGCTACTTGGATCAGTTCTTTTATGTCAATAGACAGATGAGTCCAGGGCATTAGTAAAGGGGCAGTTCCAATTTTCAGTAGCCAAGGACCCCTGAAAGCAATACAGATTGCTTTTAGGGCAATCTGCATTTGTTCATATTTATAGCCACATCCCGTAGTTTTGCCCGTTTGTTCCCATCGTCAGCCATGGAGTACCTAATCCAGCCTCCCACCTTTCCGATGGAAAAATCAAATCAGTACTGTGCCAAGTAGAAGTAATTCTGTTTTAAGGAACGCAGACAGCCATGCCCTAAGAGCAGAGGGAGCTACAGTAATCGATTCACAACGATCTCAGAAACCCGGAGTCTGATAAATTAAGCAGCCATACACCCCAGCAAGAGGAGGTCTGTGCAAAACAAGTGCAGGTGCTTTTTATTTAAAACCCTAGCCACAGAACAGGTGCTGTTTTATTTATAAATACTTTATCCACCTCTCTGTGGAAGATGACCTGCCAAGCTAATGTCAAAGTTAACTGAAACAGAGGAGGAGGTGCAACTTCACTCACTTTTTTGGTGCTTCGTTTGGATTCTCATAGATACGATTGCAGAACGTCTCTGTTATGAGCCTTTTTCCGATGTGCTCAACTTCTCCACCTGGTCACCTCTGGGTCAAAATTTTCCATATACGCTCTTGCTCCAAAGATACGTTTTGCCTCAGAGACACCTTGTCCAAATCTGCCTGTGCTTTCAGGCATCAGCTCCCCTGGATATGGGCCTGCATAAGAGAGAGCAATAAGAATAAATTTTTTGATGAGCGAGGCATAGCATTCATTGAGTTTGTTAGCCATGTCTAGGTGCAAATTCTCACTTTATACTGGTTGACCACTAAATGCAGCCGTCTCTGCCTATTGGGCTTTGTAATCTCACTGCTTAATCCTAGCACTTTTTGTAAAGTCCGTCCAGAGAAGCCCGCGGCCTTTTTTCTGCATGGTTGTCCCTTTGTCAGGGTTTAAATTGCACACAGCTTTTGCTAATGTGACTTAAAGAAATCCAGGCCTACTTTGTCCCTGACCCTAAGTTCTTCCATGCAACAGCTTTCACGGTGTAGCGCCCTCAGTTTATTACAATTTTCCCTTTCAAAATCTAGAGCCTTTCTGACAGGCCGACTTCCCTTTAGACTCTCGTCGATTTAAATGGAATTGACTCGTTATCTCTCAATCCAAGGTTGTTTTCTATGAGCAGAAAAGAAACTATCACCTAGAGACATTTTAATCTCCTTTAAGACCGGCTGAAAACGTTATCCACTTCTGGTGAAGCTGGAGACAATATCCAATTGCAGCCAGTTTACCCAGTTATCGGGAACTGCTCAAGCTAATCCACACTGGTTTGCTGTAAATGTCATCGGAATCACTGCTCCCAGTAGCATGTTCAAGGGACTGCTGCAGGTCCATTTTAATCCACCATTTCCTTTGCTTCTGGGTGAGACACTAGGAGAAAAGAAAGCCAAAGGACAGACTGTCAATGGATGGCGTGTTATCTGGAGTTACTTCATACCCTGGTACAGCCGTCCTCTTCACTTCTCACCCGGCCTAGCAGGGGCACACAGTGACACAACTATTTTGCCAAGTATTCCCTCACTTCTTTGCACCTTCCCATGCGTTTCACCTGGCAAGTCCTAGTCTGACAGATCTGGGGCCAACTGGAGGCATGAGGCAAGTGCAGGACGACTGAGTCTGCAAGGCTTGTTCTTACTTCTTTTAAAATTCTTAATTACTCCTCCACTAGCCCCTGCACTGCAATAGGATCAGGAGTCTAGCTCCCCACTCAGCGCAAAATCTAAGCCTGGGGTAATAGTTTGCCAGCCCTTTACCAAACTGCCACAATTCTTTAATGCCTATTTGCCCAGTTCAACATGTCACACAGTAAAAGGAAGACAGCCCATAAAAATACCAGTTGATAAAACAAATCCTTCTCTGAAGAGTTTACAGTTTAGGTAGAAGTCCTCAGAGAAATACAGGTGGCTGAGAGTGACTAAAAATGGCTCTCAAGCCACCACATAAAGACAAAAGGGACTGTGTGCGCAGACATGCAGATTTAGCACCCGAAATCTGGCGATGCTGAGCACCGGGCACTCAGGGAAAACCACCGAAATCAACAGAATCACACAGTGATTCAACACAATCACAATTCTGCACCGATTCTCCCCTCAGGTTTAAAATACTCATGGATGCCTCTGTTTGGATTTTACGAATGATAGATTTTCTTATGATCCGCAAATGGGCAGAACCGGCCAGAACGAGCCTCTTCTGCATGTGCTTGATTCCACTCTCTGCATTGCCCCTTCTTGCATATTTCTTTAAACCTCTTCTTTGATTACAAGAAAAGTAACTGAAACAAATAGCGCTTTAGATGGAAAACCTCCTGCCCACCCTGTGTTAGCCGGGTTTATTTATAATAATCTGCAAAAGGTGGGGCACAGGGAATGACCTCCTGCTGTTTCAGAAGAAAGCTCCACGTTAAACTCCGATGGCAGTACTTTCTAGTGGGGGTGAGGAAAAAAAAAGCAAATTTTGCTTTTGTGAAGATGCAGCCCTATTGAGAGAGCAGGATTTGGCCCAAAGAGTTATGGCATAGCCTGGTGCCCTGCTTGGAGATGGGACTCGCACCCATCATCTCCCGCCACCTCCCCCGGGGGAAGCCTTGCATGTCCGTGCTGCTGATGCAACACAAAAGCTCTTTGCATCATGCGACAGTCTCAAGAGACGTTTGCATCTCGGCGAAAGCCCAGGACAGAAGTCCCAGGGTATTTGACCAGCTCTGGGGCCAGGATCCCAGCTAGCAAGGTCTGCAGGAAGGGAAGGCAGCCTGCGAGGTGGCAGGCTGCCATTTCAGTGACAGGGATGCCTGGCAGTGTTGCCTAATGACTTTAGCCCCTTGAGGGCACGGCAAGAGCAAGGAGTCCTGGGGAGCCAAGGGTGGGATGTGCTGGGTGAAAAGCCTGTATCTAGTCATGGGGCAGTTGCCCAGCTGCATACGGAGAAGTTGGGGCAGCACAGAGTGCTGCTGGGTTTAATTCAGAAAAATATGTGCTGCAGGTACCAGAAATTAAGGAAAAACAGGTCTAGTGTTACAACCCTAACCGACAAGAATCAGTCTGTTAGCATCACACCTTGCTCTGCCTTCCTTCTGCCATCAATAAAATTACAGGAGAGGAGATTTTATCTGCTGTTGTAAGGTGTTTTGAGGCCTCTGCTACAAAGCACTATTAAAGACTGGGCTTCTCTTCAAAAGCAGTCTTTTCTGTGCAAGGCATGTGCGTGCAATACAGAGACATCCTGGTCATTGCAAGTTGTATAGCAATGTTTTTCTCAGAGCTATACAGGTGATCCCAAATCTGGGACAATAAAAGATGGTTTCTCCAGCACTCTCTTATGTTCCAGGCTGAGCCAAGTGCTTTAGGAAAAGTTTGCTTGACAAATACCTCGGAGAGTTTAAAATGTTCCCCTTCACTGGCAGACAGTTGCCTTGGACCTCACTCAGAGGCTTTCTTTGTACCACAGATCCCATGAAGTGCCTTTTCCATGCATGAGGAAAGAGATACTATGTTGCAGAGACCTAGAAGAAGAGTTTAGTTTTGCCACTGACCTGCTGTTGCTTTACCTCTTTTACCCCTCCCACCTCTCATCTTGTTTGCTTTGACTGAGAGCTCTTTGGGGGCAGGTCGAGCTTTTAATATATGTTTGCATTGCATCAGGGGCAAATAGGACTCTGACCATAAGGCCCAAAGTGTTCCTATAACATGGGTCAAACTAGGCCCCAAGTGATTTTAAAGTCTGATTTCTCAAAACTAGGGGGAAGAGCTGTTACCCATTGGCTGTCTGGACACTTTCCTGCCTTGCACTCCTTGCCTCCAGGTGGGAGAGGGCCACTGACCCTGGTGGTAAGTTGGTCCCTAAGGACCAGCGTGATTTTGCATTCCCTTCCACTCAGCAGCTTTGCTGCTGGTTACGTGATGTACAGAATAAAGATGTGCAGTAATAGCGCAACCCCCTGCCCCCATCCACCTTTGAAAGCCAGAGCTCTTTGTGCATTAAACCATTAAACGTGCCTGGTTTCAGTCCCCCAGCCACATTTTCCACAGTGTCAGTGCTAGCAGGCTGGGCTGTTTATTTTAGGAAACAAATAGCTGTATCATTTGCACACGCCCTTATAGGCAGACACAGGCTCTCCACTCACGTTCTTCAAAAGAAGGGAAGGCGAGATGAAGAACTCTTTGTTGCTGTGGGTGGCCTTGGCCGTCTCCTTGGGGTTCATTCTTGTGGCAGGTAGGTGAGAAATGAAGACCGTGAAAAACTGCGCTTAGCATAGCAGTGATGTGTTTTGTGTAATTGGCCATTAGTAATTTTAACAGTTAAAATGGAGTCTCAGAGCCTGCTCAAGAAGTCATGCTTCAGTGGTAGTTGGACACCTCACTGTCTTTTTACTGTGTCTTAATTCCTACTGCAAGGCTAGAAGAGTGATGACTAGCTGCAGATTTAAGATCTTAACCATTTTTAATCAGGTTTCTGAAGCAAAAAGCACAAGCTTGCGTGCTTGCTTTTCTGCAGTGCTAGGAAGATTGCAAGACTGTTAACTGCTAGATGTAAAAGCTTCTAAATTCTTCTGGATGATCCTGTCATATGGCTACGGACAGCTCAGTTCTGGTCACACTGTAGTTTAACATCATGTAACTCCACTGATTTTGGTGGAGCCACTCTTGATTCACAGCAGATATACTAAGATTGGACTCCCATCCGAGCAGACTAGTCAGTGTGATTCACAGATAATTGACAAGCCATCCGCATTCCTGTGATGGATTTGCTCCACAGGATTAAATTCATGTTCAAGGAGAAGAATCTCAACATCACAAATAACAGCCTCTTTGAAATTCCTCTAACTTTCAGCAAAGGGTTTATTGCTTACCCAAACCATTGTTTCCTATGAAGTGTGACCAACTGCATAATCCATTAGCTGCAATGGCAGAAAACGGTGAGAAATACTGACTGTCGAATCTGTGCTGGTTCAACAGAGACCAGTTGGCTTTTCCACGTTCATACTCATGGCTTGAAAAATATATGTATATATATAATATATATATGTGTGTGTGTGCATGCATCCTGCTAATAGGAAAGTAAAATCTGAGTTACTTGCACCTACAGGAGTGACATTTGTGCTATCTGTTTTGAAATTAATAGCTGTCTGGTCTCTCTGAATCTCTCTCTGCTTTAATTAAGTAGCCACTTTCATATTCAGCGGTTTGGACAGCCAGTTTTGGAATGCGTTTGCTTCTTTAACAGGCTGCAGCTGGTTAGGTACAGATTTTGTTGGACTCCATCTCCATGTAGCACTGCATATCACAGCATATTACAAGACAACCCAATAATAAAAGATGAAGCATTTTGTCAAAACATCTGTGTGAGAGAGGGAACATGATATTGCAGTAAGCCATGCAGACGTTCAGATGGGCATTAGGAGTTTTTGCATTTAACTACCTTCTTCTCTCAAAGGCAGTTTTCTGGATGATACTTAGAGTCGTTGCCGACAAACCTCAAAAATCCTATTCGCAACTTTGCAGTTTTAACCTAAAAAATGCAGAACACGTGTGTTGTATGGTTACTGAAAATAAAAGTAGGTAGACTTACATAAGGAATTAATTCAGGGCAGTAGTTTTAGAGTATGTTCCTTACAGTTTATCTTCCCTGTATATTCATAAAGTAGTACATTTGCTAATATAGTTTTTTGAATAACAGGAATTAGAACCTGCTCTAAAGCCAGGCAAAGTCAATGAGAGTCTGACTTCAAGACTGGCTTTGGATCAAGGTCTTAGAGAGAATTACACGCAACATGTTGTATAGAACACAGAGATAGACACCAGAGGGAAACTTATGTGAAGGACAAGGAGCTAGGGAACATCTATAAAAGAAGAAACACCAAGGCTCAATGAGGCAGAGACTAGAGAGGCTTTTTTCAGACAGCCTCTGCCTCAGGGGGAAGTGATCATGCTGAGTGATGAGGTGGCAGAGAGGAGGCAGGGGGAGTCCTAGCAGGAGGAGGAAGAGGTACAAAGACAGATAGGCACTATTAAACCCTCAGTGATGATCATCTCCTTTATCCCAATGGGTCAGATATGATTACTGCCTCGGTGGGGCACAGAGCAATCAGTCAGAGGTACGACTGGACTTGCACTGTGTACATGCCTTTTAATAGCATTTGCACAGGTGACAGATTGTGCTAGATGCTGTACAGACAATGCTAAAAGTCAGCCCTTGCTCCCAAGAGCTAAGCGGGCAAATACCGTAGAGGGACAAAGATTTCTCAAGAAATCACCAAGAGTGGTAGCAAAGGCAGCACCTGCATGCCTGTGCAGGAAAAGGCAGTCACCTATTCCAGCACTGTTTGCTTGTCACTCTACAACAGCTTGCTTACAGCTGCTGGGATGCACATCCTGGACTGTGAGCTCTATGCTGAACTAGCTGACAAACGGATCTCAGCATTTTCTCCGAGATTCTAATCTAGAAATCTTTTCTGGGTTGGGGCAGAGGGGAGGAAAAGGAGATGCAACATTAGTGACACTTACTTTTAAAAAACGTTGAAGCATTCTGCTGCTCAAAGCAAGGGAGTGCAGTAATTTCTTTCCTGACCCAAAAACCCCGAAGAGAACATTCTTCAGAAGGGATTCTGCTGCCAGTTATCACAGGAGCAGCATTTGCAACCACGGTAAATTGTAAGGTCACTCTGAGGAGTGATTTTGAAAAGTTTCCATGCCCAAGTCTTTCACAGTCATGAGGGCTGGCAGGATCTCAGAGAGCAACCACCCAGTGGAATGGAAGCAGAGGAGACTGGTGTGTTGTGGAGGAAGCAGGGAAGCTCCAAGCAGCCCTACACAGAAAACCTGCAGTACTACGTGCACTTTGTCACACGGACTAGATTCTCCAGTGGCAGAAGCAGTCTCTGCCGGTTGATGCTGTGGAGTACTGGGTGCTGTTTGGCCCTGCAGACAGTTTCTGGCACAATTAAGCAGCTAACAATCCAAAAAAGTGCTGTATCACTGAGACCCCTGCTCCCCTGTTGCTCTCATAGGCTTTGATCACCATCCTTTTCACCCCATCGCTACTGATTCTATTGCTCATGCAAACCAGCAGGATCAGACATGTAAATGAAAAAGCAGATGTGAGCTTACTTATGCAGGGGACTGGCTAATTCTTTAACGATTCATTTTTTGGTGAATCAGAAGGAAAGAAAACCACCCATCAGGGCCAACCCTTTTAAGTGGAAGCGAGTCTGAAGCCCTCTGTAGATGCTGTGATGAACACAGATGGATTTAGCCTGCTGTTTCTTTCTCTGCTGTGTTGAAACCAATGGGCTAGGAAAGTAGGCAAGTTCCCACAGCAGTCTGAGCCCAATATAAGCTATCTCCTCTCATAGACAAAACTCTCTCACAATGTTTTTGGTACTTCAAAGCAGGCTGGAAATGCTGTAGGAATATTGCAGAGCAACACCTATGAATCTACTCTAGCAGCATTTGAAAATAGAGAAGGATGTGATAATGACCATTTAAGAGGGGCGGGATTCTGCTGTATAAGACTTAAGAGTCAAGAAACCAGAGGCTCTTGGGGAAAGCTGACTGGGAGAGAACAAGTTATTTCATATCCATCTACTTGCTCAGTGAGGAAGTAGGCATTGCACACCAACAGAAACACTATAAAAGTACTCTGGGGAAGTTCTACCCTGTTATTTGATCGAGTTTCATATTGAATAATGTGCTAAAAGTGAAGGAGACAGTCATACCCAGGCTGGCTCTTCTCTGTTTGAGTAAGCGTCTTGGCTGCCAAACTCAAGTCCACTAGAAACAGGTCAGAAAGTTGTGGTTAAAAGTTCTCCCTGCAAACTGCACGTGTCAGTGGCACTTGCCTTTCACTGCCAGGTCACCAGGGTGGCAGGCTGCCTTCCCCCTGGGTCCTTTCGGTGCTTTTCAGCCTTTGTTCCCTAAGAGACCTGGGGAAAATAGATTGTGCAGGAAATTAAACCAGCCTGATTGCCACAGCCTGCTTGGCAAGGTCATAGATATTTATTTACAGTCCAGATCCAAACTAGAGTTCAAACTGTGAGAATAGTCCTGATATATGATACAGGAATTGGCTAACCTCCCTTTAGACAGCTTTTCAATCATCATTGCTGATGTTTCAGAAGCCAGTAGAGCAGCAGCAGAGTAGCCCAGCCTTGTTTGACTGGAATACAGGAATTGCATGAATGGAAACCATTACCTAGGCTTCATTCTGTACCTTTATGGTTCATTTTTAGGCCACGTGCTGGATAAAGGCAACACTTGAGCTGCCAGCCAAAGTGCCAGGTGTAGCTGGAATGCTTGCTTGGGTACTTTTTGTCTTCTGGTTTCATAAGAAACCCTTGTTTTCCTCACTCAATTTCAGTTTTCGTCTTTGGCCCCCATCCTTCCTATCATCTCTGTGTACAGGAACAGACTGTAGGCTGAGCAGTGAAGAGAGCTGAACTCAGCGTTGCAAAGAGACTCAGTCCTACCTGTAGTGACCTTGACTTTAGTCAGCGTAGATGCCACAACTGAGAGGTGCCTCTGCGAGGTTCTCATTGCTTTGCTTTCTTCTAGAGCAGCTTGCCAGAGAGTTTTCTTTTTGACCTTAAGATTGCATATCCTGTGCTTGCAGGTTATCCACGAGCATACGAGGATGAGGAGTACGTGCTGGTCAACAACAAGTGTAAATGTGCAACAGTGACCTCGAAGTTTGTCCCCTCTAAAGAGAACCCCAGGGAAGAAATCCTGGAGAGAAACATACGCATCATGTAAGTAGCCGACAACTGTTATGTGGAGATGGCAAAAGGGAAGATAATATGTTGCATGGGTTCCCTTTGGTTTGCGTTATTTCACATCCACTGGCATTTAAGGTAGGAGCAGTTTTCCCCCCAGGCTGTTTTTTATAGTAGCCTGGAGTAATTTCTTTTGCTCTCATCTCAAGCCTCATCATGTTTTCCTAGCTCAAATCTGGCTGGCTGGCGTTTGCCCCTTCAGCTCCATGTTTTGAGACATCCCCACAGCAGTTTTGTAAAACATGTTGTTTAAGAAAAACTAGTTTCAGATTAGACCAACTGTGGAATTGTTACAAAATTTGGCCCACGACATTGGACTCTGCCATTTCCAGATTAGATCTCTATGTTATCAAGTCAGCTTTCTGGGCATGGGAAAAACCAGTCAGTGCCTGAAGTATCAGAGAAGGTCAATGGCATGAGGCAGATTTCAGTTCACAGTGAGATTTTTGTCCTCTTTATTCACAGCAATTGGCCAAATAGTTTGGGGTCGAGGGGAAGGGAAAGAGACTCAGGTCAGGTTTGGAACTGCAGGAATTTGAAGAGGGCTCACAACAAGGAAAAATACTCATGAAATGCCTCTGTCTCAATATCCTACAAGTCTCATATAGGCCTTTGCAAGCCAAGGGAAAGATAAAAGGAATATCACTATAGGCACCTTGAAAGCATCATTAGTGAAAGGCAGCACTTTCAGGAATTGCTGCATTGCTTTTGGGGAGGGCTCCACCATCACCCACCCAGACTTCCCATAGAGGTGCCTGGAAACCAGGCCAAAAATATCCTGTTGCCTTTAAGGGCACAGAAGGGCCAAGGTCTCCCACCTGGTGCTTTGCCAGGCAGAAGGGACAGAAAGAAAATAACCTGAATAAAGAACAAGATGAGAGCTGAGAACATGTCATATCAGAACAGTAATTCTATGCTTAACAAGCAGTTTTCACCAGAGCAATTCTCCTCCTCCCTTCCTCTAGAGTCCCCCTGAAGAGCCGAGAGAACATCTCCGACCCTACATCCCCGCTCAGAACCACTTTTGTCTACCGCATGTCTGAACTGTAAGTAATCTTCTTTACCAAATTTCCTAACGCTTACCCTCCTGGCAGCATTACCCATGGCAGCTCACAAACATCCTTGAAGGCCAGTAGAATAGGTAAGGCAGGGTCACACAGGAAAGTTTTCCCCAGAGAGCCTAGCTCTCCTACCTATTCTGTTACCATGTCTTAGCCCTAAAGCAACGCTTTCTTCCAAGTGAGGAAATTCAGTCATCTTCATGATGAATTCCCATAGAAAGTTCTCACACACGCAGGGAAAGTCTCATTCCAATCCCTCTTCATCTTGAGGGTCTTCAAAAAACCAGAAAAGTACACATTTCCTGTTTGATGCTTCTTTTTAGGGGCCTTCCCTATGAAAAGGGGTTTGACAATACTATTTGCAACCAGAAAGCTTCTGACGGGGAGTTCCTGTGTGAGACATGGGCTCTAGAAAGGTCAAGCTGCCAGATCAGTGCACAAGACTGAGTTTCATCAAGGGTGTCTTTTAGTGACAACTTTTAACACTTCTTCTATTGCTCGTCTCTTCCAGATGCAAGAAGTGTGATCCCATAGAAATTGAGCTGGGTGGTGAGATATACAATGCCCAGCAGAGCACCTCCTGCGACGGTACGGAAACCTGCTACACCTACAACAGGGACAAGTGCTATACCACAACCTTCCCATTCCTCTACCGCGGGGAGACAAAAACTATTCGAGCAGCTCTGACACCAGCATCCTGCTATGCTGATTAGCTCAATCCATTGCTGTCCTAATACCTTGTTGCATTCTGTTTTCCTGTCACAAATACATTTGTGCTAGCAGCATAGTACCTAGACGACAGTATCTGAAATATCAGCTCCCAGAGTAATGCAAACTTGCCTCTTTACATTCTCAGCACATATTCGCAACATCATTACGCATCTCAGACACTATTACCCTACAGACCCATCCCCAGAAGGGGTAAGCAATTACAATTTAAACAATTTGCAACAATGGAGCATCGATCTGGTTTGACAGGCTTCCTTTAGTCCCTGCCTAAGCAAGGCCATTACGGACATCAGCAGGAATGTCCGTGTATTTGCACTCCTGAGCAATCTAAACCAAACCTCTGCGCAAGCTTGGTGGCACTACTAGAAGTCCATTGTACAATCATATTCGAGAGAAAGATGAGGGGCAAAACTTAAGTCACATTTTTAAAGTTGTTTTTCAAAACAAACCCTAAAGCCTTCCATTGCTTTAATAATCACAAGCTTCCAGTTTTCACATACACTTGGAGAAGATTAAAAGATGCTGCTGCTCTGAAGTGTTTCACAAAGGTGCTGGGACCTCAGGTGTTCCAGGAATAGTAAACTCACCCAGGACACATTAGATATTGCGCTTTCCATGTTTATGTATGATAGTAGTTCATTCCTCCACTCCTGCTGCCAGTTGAATTGCTGTTGTAAAAATCAAGTTGGCTTGAATATTTTCTTCCTGGTTTTGCATTCAGACGTGCAAGAAATCCTGCGGGGGCCGCCCCACTTGCAAGAGCAGGGCCCTAGTTAAGGCTTCTTTCATTCTATCACCTCAGTTATCTCTTCTTCTTCATATAAGAAATCCTTGTTGAATAAAGGAGCTGATTCTGTATAGTACATGACATTTATATGCATTATACCTGGTATTATCAATAGACACATCACATATGCAAGTGCATTCCCCAGCATTACATTTGGGAAGGCTGGTATATTTCTCATTGTTGTTAGAAGTTGATTATAAAACTTCAGCTGTTCTGAGAAGTCCTTCTTGGGCTTGACATATCATTGCAATAATAATAGAGCAAAAACCTGATTCCCATAATTTGAGCTTTGCTAGTGAAACATTAAATAAATTTTTTTCTGCAGCAGCCTGTGTTAAATTCTAGTGGCATTCAAAAGAAAGTCAAATCTGTAATGTTTTCCCACTTCACAGTGAAGGACAAGAAAGATTCTCCCAACTGCCTGCTCATATGCACAGACCGAGGCACCTGAAATACTGAGACAGAAATAATGATGTAGTTGAGGAAACTACAACAGATTGAGGCTCAATTAGTTTGATTTTAGGATCTGCTCTGCACTGCTCAAAAGACTGTACGTTAATGCTTCAAGGTCCTGAGAGACACTACAGGATTGGAACGAGAAGATCTGAACACCACTTAGATCCTGCTCAACACTAATTTGCAGGTCTGAATCTCACTGGACAGTGAAAAGAAATGCCTCAAGACAGGGTGTGTTGGGGGCTAGTCATTCACACTCAAGATCCCTCTCCTAAAGGATAAGTATCCTTTAGGGGCCCAATTTTGAAAAGCAAAGAAAGAAGATTAAGATAATAAAAGTCACCCCACTCTTATAGAACTCTGTAAAATGGCCTTACAAAAATATCAGTTGCCTCCTTTTACTGCAGAAGGAGGCTAGCCAGTTCAAAGAAGAAACAAAACACAAAGGGAGGCAGAAAGACTTGTGCGATGTGCTGACATGGCTACCTAGAAGTATTTCAATGATTAGGTATTCTGCTCACTGAAATTTAAGGGAGAAAGTTCGGAAAGTCTTGATATTCACTACTGGCTGTTTGTAAACCACCTAGGAGCTCTGCAATGTTAGAAAGTCATGGTGAGGCTGCATTTTGTCTCCCAACTCCACACAGCCACTGGGATGACAGCTACAGCAATTCAACAGTCCTTGGGGCTCTGCCTCTACTTTGGAACAGTTTGCCTGAAAGTGAAATCTGTGACTGAATATTAGGTCCAGGTGGTGCACGTTTGAGCATTGTCCGAAGTCCAGACTGAGCTGGGGCAGATGATCACAAATCCAGATAACAGTTCAGAGTTTGGGAGACTGTGTGCAGCTCTTGGCCCTGCTGCAGGCTGCCTAGGCTACGTTGGGCTCAGACATAGCTACGGTTACGGCTAGGTGAGCGAGGGAGTGTTCATGGGGGTACCACAGCCCAGCAACTCAGGCTTCGCATCTGGCACTGCTGCAGTCTGCAGACAGGCAGGCACCCGCTGAAGCCTCAGTTGCTAGAGCCCTC